ATTCTTGAGATACTTTACTAAGAAGAATATGTTCCAGCTCCATCCAGGTAAACATAAAAGATGTGAAGTCCCCATCATTTTTTATGGCTGCATACTATTCCATGGTATACATATACCACAATTTGTTAATCCATTCATGTTTTATCATTTTGTTTTTTCTTCCATTATGACTTAAAATTTTTTTTCTTTTTCTTTGAGACAAAGTCTCACTCTATTGCCCTGGGTTGAGTGCAGCAGCTTTGTAGCTCAGGCAAACTTAAACTCCTGGGGTCAAGTGATCCTTTTGCCTGAGGCTCCCAAGTAGGTGAGACAGCAGGCACCTGCCACCATGCCTGGCTAGTTTTCTATTTTTTCAGTAGAGATGGGGTATTGCACTTGCTCAGGATGGTCTTGCACTCCTGAGCTCAAGCAAATCACCTGCCTTGGCCTCCCAGAGTACTAGGATTATAGGTGTGAGCCACTGACCCCAGCCTAAAACTAATTTTTATTGAGAGACAGTGTTAGGACAAATAAAAGTGTTTGGGCTTCCTAGCCCATGACCTTGAGACAAGATAAAACTATCTGGGCTCTCTTGCCCATAACCCTGCTGGCCTGTGGGTCAAGACAGAAGTCCTTGTGTTCTTAGATAATCGTAACTATGTACGATGACGCTTGTGTAACAGCTGTTTGATATGAGTATAAAGGGGGAGGGGATTTGTTGCTTCGGGGACCTTCTGCACTGGCTCACCCCTACCCCCACCTGCCTCTGTGAGCTGAATAAAGAACATGTCATACCTGCCCTCTGTTGAAGTTTTTCTTCCGCCTATACGAAGTGAACCATTTGCACAACAGACAGGGTCTTGCTCTGTTTCCAAGCTGGAGTGTGGTGGCATGATCATAGCTCACTGTAACTTCAAACTCCTGTGCTCAAACCATCCTCCTGGCTCAGCCTTTTATGACTGCAGGTGTGAGCCACCAGGCCTGGCTAATTTTTTTACTTTTTATAGAGACAGGGTCTTATTACGTTGCTCAGGCTAGTCTTTAGATTTATTTTTATTTTTAAATTTTTTTCCCAGTACCAGAAAATAGACTGGTCTTGAAGAAGACAGATATATGTGTAAAACCCCATTTGATCTCCTTTAATGCTGTCCAGGAAAGGACGTTCTGTTAGTGACCTGTCAGTACAGTGCTTGGTACTGGCAGGTTTGTGGGCTTCCTTCTTTCTAATCTTGATCTTTTATATTGATGTATTAGTTTATTTTTTTTATTCTCTTCAGGTATTTGGACAAAGATGCTATTTTTATTTTCCAAGTGAAAACAGTATTGTTAGGGTCACTCTGTGGATAAGCCACAGTCATATTTTCAATTTTCCTCTGACCTGGTTGGTTTCAGCACACTCTCAGCGCCTAGCAGATCTGCATAGAGTGGGCAACCCTGGGGGAAGGGCTCACAGAAAGCTGTGCATGTATATGTGTGGGGGTGAGGAAATGGGGGGGGTACGTGGTTATATGTGGGAAAAAGGAAACTGCTCTGGATTCTTTTACCATATAGGAGATGGCTCGGTACAGTGGGAAAGAGAAATGGATGGTGGGTTTCTGCTCCCTAATTGTAACTTTTTCACTTATCCCACAAAGTTAAATATACAATGATGTAAAATTGGAAAGTTTCAACAAAGGATACAGACAAAAAGCTTCATTTTCATTCCTGACCTCTAGTCCCCTCATTGGAGTAACTACTCCATTTTTCTCCCCTTAATATATTCTCTCTCTATATAAGCAGCGTTGATGGCTTAAAAATGCACAAATAATACTGCCTGTGTTATCTTAGGCAAATCTCTAGAACTTCTGTATTAATTAACTTCTCTAAGTTCTTTATATTCCTAAATAGAAATACTCATGCACACTTGGCCAAACCTACTTTGGACGATCAGGCATTTTACAAGGACAGGATAGAGGGGAGGGTTGTCATGGAAGTTTTTTTGTTCTACACAAAGCAGAATGAGTCACATGTGCTCTGACTTGACAGAGGCATCCTGAGTGGGTAGCAGTGTCGTGTGTCAGCAGCCCTCTCACTAACTCCACGGGGTATGGCTTCTCACATGTCCTGTCCCTCTCTCAGCATGCTGAGCTTTCCTTCATGGCTAAATCAGGAGATGCCACTTGCACCTTAATTGTCAGGTATGTATTCGCTTGGGATAGGAAGTGGAAACCTGCCAGAGTGTGGGACACCTCTGCCTCCCTCCTTCACTCCTCCCCTTTGCTCTCTCTTCGTGTTCAGGGAGTTGGTATTAGAATTTGGCTGATGCAACAGTTTGAGTCACTGTCTCTCAGTGCTGTGAGATTTACTCACTTTTAATTGGGAGTTGCTAGAATCACTTCTCTCTCCCTTGCTCTGACTTCCTTCTCTAATTGGCTCTCAGAGGACTCCAACTCCTGCTAATCAACTAAGGAAAAGCTGCCGCAGAGAGCCCCAGACCGGCACCTGGGGACCCCAGGCTCTGCTGAGACTTTGCTTCTTCAAGTCTCTTTTCTAATCCATTAAGCCAACTTTGTCTATGGATCAGGCCTGGGAGAATAGGGTTCCTGTGTGTGTGAATGGTGCCAACCTCTTCTAGACTTTGCCAGCTGCTATGTCCTGCCTGAACCTTTTTGTTCTTGTTAGCAGAGAGGAGAGAAAATGGTACCTGGTTGAGGTGTCCAAAATTGAGCTGATGAATGATGGGAAAAAAGCACAGATGAAAAAGCATACCATTTGAGGAAAGTTAACCTCAACACATTGGTCCATATACTGCTTCTGTGTTAGCAAAAGGTCGTGTGGAAACCTTACCTTGTCTGCTTCTGTTGGTCATTGTCTAAAGGAAGGTACATACTAGTTATGCATCTTTGGCTGATAATTATTATTGGGTTACATTTAAAAATTATTTTAAAAATAGATTTTATATTTTATTTTTATTATTTTATTTTATTTTTTGAGACAGAGCCTCAAGCTGTCACCCTGGGTACAGTGCTGTAACATTGTAGCTCACAGCAACCTCCAATTCCTGGGCTCAAGCGAGTGTCCTGCCTCCACTTCCCAAGTAGCTGGGACTACAGGCATCCGCCACAATGCCTGGCTATTTTTCAGTTGCAACCGTCATTATTATTTGGCAGGCCTGGGCTGGATTCAGACCTGCCAGCTCAGGTGTGTGTGGCTGGCACCTTAGCAGCTTGAGCCACAGGTGCCAAGCCTAGATTTTATATTTTAGAGTAGTTTTAGGTTCACAGCCAAATTGAGTAGAAAGTACAGAGAGTTCTCATATACCTCCTCACCCACCTCATGCCCAGCCTTCCCCACTATCAACCTCCCATACCCGAGTGGAGCATTTCTTATGATTGACAAACCTACCCTGACACATCATTATCCGTCAGAGTCCATAGTTCACGTTAGAGTTTACTTTGGTGTTGTACATTCTATGGGTTTTGACAAATGAATGCTGACATGTATTCATATGACAGCATCATGCAGAATAGTTTTACTGCCCTAGACATCCTCCATGCTCTACCGATCCCTCTGCCCTAGACCCTAGTGACCAGTCTTTTTATTGTCTCCACACTTCTGCCTTTTTCAGAATAAAGTTGGAATTAAAGAGTATGTAGCCTTTTTGGGTTGACTTCTTAGGTTACATTTTTTTTTTTGAGACGGAACCTCAAGCTATCCCCCTGGGTAGAGTGCCATGGCATCACGCTCACAGCAACCTCCAACTCCTGGGCTCAAGCGAGTCTCCTGCCTCCGCCTCCCAAGTAGCTGGGACTACAGGCGCCTGCCACAACGCCTGGCTATTTTTTGGTTGCAGCCATCATTGTTGTTTGGTGGGCCTGGGCTGGGGATTCGAACTCGCCACCTTAGGTGTATGTGGCTGGCGCCTTAGCCGCTTGAGCCACAGGCGCCGAGCCCTTAGGTTACATTTTAAAGTGATTTTTTAGTATGATTTTAAAGTTGCAATAGAGAGTAAATATATCTCTTTGGCATATCTAATCCCATTTGTGTAACTTCTTTCTTGACAAATAGATATGATAAAGGAAATTGTCCTGGTACCTAGTTTACCCTTGGAGAAGCAAGGTGGTAGGTTTGAATTTGAGTGCTGTACTACCAACAAATACAAGATAAAGGGGATCGTAGTCAAAGTACAGGTTGGAAAACACATGTTGAAGATTGAATTGTGACTTTTTTTTTGAGACAGGCTACTTAGTGGCCCTGGGTAGCGTGCTGTGGCATCATAGCTCACAGCAACCTTAAGCTCCTTAAGCTCCTGGACTCAAGTGATCATTCTTGCCTCAGCTGCCTGAGGTCTACAGGTGCCCATCATAATGCCCAGCTAGTTTTTCTATTTTTAATAGAGACAGGATCTCCCTCTTGCTCAGGCTGGTCTTTGAATCCTGAGCTCAAGCTACCCACTCACCTAGGCCTCCCAGAGTGCTAGGATTATAGGCATGAGCCACCATACCTGGTGAATTGTGACTTTTTTACTGACTAGTGTTAGTCTACAGATAAATTGCTTATAAGACTTTGGGATAAGACCAGGAAAGACACAGAAATCTGTCTATACATAGTTTCATCAGCATTCACCGAGAATTGCTTTTTAGATAAAGCAACCATATGTATACATTTTTATTATATATAAGCAATTTTTAAATTATTATAAATATCTTCCAAGAGACTGGAGTCTCTTTTTTTTTTGAGACAGAGCCTCAAGCTATCCCCCTTGGTAGAGTGCCGTGGCTTCACAGCTCATAGCAACCTCCAACTCCTGGGCTCAAGCGAGTCTCCTGCCCCAGCCTCCCAAGTAGATGGGACCACAGGTGCCCGCCACAATGCCTGGCTATTTTTTGGTTGCAGCCATCATTGTTGTTTGGCGGGTCTGGGCTGGATTCAAACCCACCACCTTAGGTGTATGTGGCTGGCGCCTTAGCCACTTGAGCCACAGGTGCCGAGCCTGTAGTCTCTTCTAGGTAGGAAATATATCTCTCTAGAATGCGTCCCTGATCCTTTTGTAGTTCATAAGTGTGAGAATTGGGTGTTCACGTGCATGTATGCAATGTGCCTCCCTCAAACCTTGTTATGATATTGGCACATTACTTGTCTGATGTGAAAAAAAAAACCAGTGTATCTCTGACTCTAGCATGGTGTCTATTTATAGTATACAATAAATATTAAATGAATATACATTAGCTTGTTGTTGGTGACAATTCTCTGATTTTTCTATCCCTGCTTGTCTTAGATTTATAAGGTCAAATTCTCATGTTTTTTTCCCAGGTATTTGCATGCTTATATCGATAGAGAAGGTAAATAAAATGGTTTCATGGTCCTGCTTATGTTTGCTCAGGGCAGGATGTCTGTAGAAGAGATTATACCAGAATCTCAGCAGATAAATGTAGTAGTTGATGGAAGGTACTGTCATTTTAGGGAATGGTCCCACTGGATGGGAGAGTATGTGGTTGACCAGTGTGGATAGGGAACAGACAATGTTCTCTGGAGAAATAGAGTTCCAGGGAGGGTATAAGCCTACCAGGCTTTTCACTTTCTCTAGTTATTGTTTCTCTTTGTACTTTTTTGCCCCTGGCCACTTCCTCTTTGTCCTGCCAGAGGGCTGAACAACTGGGAGGGAGGACTTTACCCTTTTTTTTTTTTATTTACTTGGCTGTTGCCATGGCACAATTCATAAGTTGTCAAGCAAAGAAGAGATCGTCACTTCTTTACTGGTTCCTCCAAGACTCAGTTCTGAGTTAAATTCATTAATGCTTATGGAGCACCTATGTTAACATGGTGCAATATGAGCGTTTTAAGATGAATAAGGTTGTATGGAGCCAGTAAATGGTAAACCTAGGCTTAAGTGTGGGTCTCTTGACACCAAGTGCAGTGCTTTTGACAATAACCCCAGTCACTTTTATGGGGTTATTATGTCAAGGTTAGAAAGTGAAAGGAAGTATGTCTTATTATTTAAACCCATGAAAAGCAATTCAGGAAGGATTACAATTCTGAGTTAAGATTAGTTAGTACTACATGGGATTTAGTCACTTATGTGGAAAAAAAAGATTAGTCAGTATAGTGCCTAGTTTTTCTTAGGTGTTTAGATTAATTTTATATGTAATTTTAAATGTAGTTTTCATGTATTTAATGTTTATATTCGCCTGTTTAATAGAAAATGTATAATTGAGGATAAAACTGTGTTAATCTCTACTTTGAGTAAACCACTCCTGCGGGATGTCTGCTTCATACTACAAGAACATAACTAGTGTGATAGTTTATCTTGATGTTATCTTACAAGATCCTAGGAAAAAGGGAGGCACCTGTGGCTCTGTGGATAGGGCTCCAGCCCCGTATACTGAGGGTGGTGTGTTCAAACCCAGCCCCAGCCAAACTGCAACAAAAAAATAGCCGTGCATTGTGGCGGGCACCTGTAGTCCTAGCTACTCTGGAGGCTGAGGCAAGAGAATCACCTAAACCCAGGAGCTGGAGGTTGCTGTGAGCTGTGATGCCACAGCACTCTACCAAGGGCCACATAGTGAGACACTGTCTCTAAAAAGAAAAAAAAAAAAAGATCCAAGGAAAAAGTAAGCAGCCAAAGTAAACTCAAAAAAATGGCAAATATTATTCTTACAAATGTGAGAAAAGCTTATTAACCCAAGGAGCACACTGAATTGGTGGTTGTAGCTAAAACAATGATGGAAGACAGAGACGATTGCCAGGGATGGTATGTTTAAAAAACTTTGAACTTTATCCTAAGACCAATGGGGAAAGTTTGAAAGGTTTGATTCAAGTATGACATAACCATTCACATTTTTGCAATGCTGATTTGCTATAAAAGTTTCTAATGCTTTCTCTCAGTTTCTGTTCTTTTCTCATTGCCAACTGTATTTTGAGAATCGCTGAAATCAGGTGATCATCCCTTTTTCTTTAGATTACTTCAGTGCTCTTATAATTGGTCCCCTCCCTTTAATCTTGACCTTTCTTCTCTAGTGTGTTCTTTCTCCTGTAGTCATGTTGATCTTTCAAAAATGTGAATGTGTATGTCATGCTTGAGTTAAATCTTTCAAACTTTTCCTACTGGTCTTAGGATAAAGTCCAAAGTTCTAAGTTTGATTTACATAGTGACCTTAAGTCACTGGCCCATGCTTAACTCTATTTTAATATGTTTTGATGTTTCTCCTTTACACTGTATATTCCGGCCAAGATGAACCACTCTTACTTTCCGGAATGCTTACTCACTTTCATGCCTGATCTTTTGTAAATATTGTTTCTTCTTCCACACTCCTCCTGCCTCTCTGCTCAATGAATAATTCCCATTCACTCATCAGATGCCAGTTTAGATGTTGCTTCTTAAAGATTTCCTTACCACCTTCTGTACACCCTTAGGCCCTGCCTGGGTTGTGTGCACCTCTCATGTGCTCTGACAGCATCCTGTGTTTATTCTGCTAACACAGGACGTCTGTTTATTCTGCTGTAGCACTTTATACACTAAATTAACATGGGCTGTTCACTTACCTGCTTCCTGCCCCCTACACACAAGTCCTATTATATTTTGAGGAGAAAAATGAGTTTAAGCAACCCTAGAAAATTCACTCAGTTTAACTTTCTTATCTCACAGTTAAAGGAGCTGGGACCGGAGAGAATGACCTATGTAAGGCCACATGGCTAGCTGGTGTAAAACTGGGATCGGAACCCCTCTCATTTGATTGCCTATTCACTGCTTGTCCCAACAACTTATACTTCCTGAGTTCTTGTGGGGGTAAAATATTACATTATTTTCAATTTACTAAGGTGTAAAAGTGAGATAGTATACTATAGAAACTTTTTAATACCTAATACGAGAAGGTTTTCTTTTCTCCCTGGTCAGACTTCAGTTAATTAGAAGATTCTATTAACTGATTTACTCCTTTCCTTTTTATATTTTCAGGGGTTGAGGTTTTTCCTGCCTTATGCTTAGACAGGCGATGGAAACATAGTGACCACTAGAGGGCAGCACTGTACAAGGAAGACCGTGTTATACCCTGCAAAAGAAAATTTGTATGGCTAAGTTATTTTATATTTATTTTTATTTTTGCCTCTAGACTTTTCCCCTCCCATTCCGGTATTAACCATTATTATTTTGTTATAAGAACACATAACATATTATCTACTCTCTTAGCAGAATTTTAAGTATATAAAGCAGTGTTATTGATCTCTAGGACTTATTCATCTTGTATAACAGCAACTTTGTACCCTTTCACTGATATCTCCCTGTTTTACTCTCCCCTCAATCCAGACAACCACCATTCCGCTCTCTGTTTCTATGAGTTTAACTATTTTTCAGTCATCATATATGTGGTATTTATCTTACTTTATTTATTTCACTTAGCATAATGTCCTCCACATTCATCCATGTTGTTGCAAATGGCAGGATTTCTTTCCTTTCAAGGTTAAATAATATTTCATTGCATGTATATACTGCATTTCAAGAAATCCTTCCAGAGATGGACATTTGGGTTGCTTCTTTGTCCTGGTTATTGTGAATAATGCTGCAGTGAACATGGGAGTGTGGACATCTCTTTCAATTCCTTTGGATCCTTATTTCAGTTCCTTTGGATACGTACTCCAAAGTGGGATTTCTGGATCGTACAGTAGTTCTTTGTCTTAGTTTTTTGAGGAACCTTGATAGTGTTTTCCATTGTGGCTGTGTAAATTCACATTCCTACCAACAGTGTGCAACGGTTTCCTTTTATTCCATCTTCATGAATATTTGTAGGTTTTGTCCATTGGTAGCAGTTATCCTAACAGTGTGAGGCAATATCTCATTGTGGTTTTGATCTATCTTATCCTGATGAAAATTCACTCTTTTAAAGTGTACAAGTTAACAATTTTTAGTCTATTTGCAAGGTTGGACAGCCATTACCATTCTCTATTTTCTGAACATTTTTGTCACCCCCAAAGAAGCAGAGTACCCAGTAGCAGTAGTCACATCCTCTCTTTCTCTAGTCCAAGGCAAGGACATTAACTGCAGCATTATCTTAATTATAACACATTAGATACAACATAGTGTCATTAACTGAGTAATAAATTATGAAACATTCATATAGTGGAACACAATAATCTTGTCAAATGGAATGAAGTAAAATTATATGAACTGACTTTGAAAAATACTATGATATTTTATTGAATTCAAAAACTTTTTTTAGCTAATGTTTATTGAGCTCTATTATTTGTCAGACAAAATTCTAAGTGCTTTACAAGGATCAACTCATCACAACTCAGCTCACCCACAGTTTAATTAGTACCCCATTTTACAGATTGAAGTTAGTAGAATTCAAGCAACTTGCCCAGGGTCACATAGCTAGTAAGCAGATAAGCCAGAATATGACAAGTCTGACTTCAAAGTTTATACTCTAACCAGTTGCCTTATAGTTACAAATACACACACACACAATCCCAGCTTTGTTTTTAAATAAGACATCTTTAAGTGTATAGATTTCCATGAATATACCAAAAATCTAAAAGATAACCAGTAAACTATCTACAGTCAAGTTTGAAAGACAAGAAGGAGAGGGTAACTAACATGTGGTTAGAGCCTCTAAAATGTTTCTTACTGTGCCATGGCCCTTACATAAATGATGTGATTAAATCCTTGTGATATTCTTATAAGACACGAATTAGACCCACTTTAAAAGGTAAGAACTTAAGAATGTAAGTGTTAACTATCTTTTTCCACTTGCATGGCAGAGTATGAGATGAGGCTCTTCATGTTGAAAGAACAGCCTAAGAAAGATGCAAAGATGAAAAGGTGATAAACAGTGGAAGAGAAGAAATGACTGGCCTGAGGGCTAGGGTGCATTCTGGGATGTGAGGAAAGACCAAAAAAAAAAAAAAAAAAAATGTTTAGTGAGGCCATATTTGAGAGCAAGACAGAGGAATTTAGATGTATTGACTGAGGAGCAGAGAGGAAGACTGGTGAAAATGGGAGTGAAGATATAAAAATCTGTCATTTTTATGTACTTCTGAACTGCCTTGACTTTGTTACAACAACCATATATTATTTATTATTATTATTATTATTTTAGAGACAGAGTCTCACTTTATTGCCCTTGGTAGATTGCTGTGGCGTCACAGCTCACAGCAACTCCTGGGCTTAGGTGATTCTCTTGCCTCAGCCTC